TTGCATATTATTTGATTTCAAGCAATAGCAGTGAAGTGCTTTAAAACTTAATTACCAAAACCAATGAGCCACTTATTACCTTGGGAGAAGACAAGAAACAATTCAAAAAAACAAAAAATGGAGAGGTATATATGCCTGTAAATCAAATTCTAAGTTTTGGTTTCATTGTGTTGAGTCAAGACAGGTGTAGTGAAATCGGAACAGGAAAAGGCTTTTATCCTTTGCGCTAAGATCCCACTTTTTATTTTCCTTTTCTCAGTGCTGTGGTCGGTTATGGACTTAAAAGTTATGATAATGGTCAAATTTTCACGTAACATTTTTTATTCTCTTTACGAGTATGCTGAGATTGGTTTCTTTTGTTATTCTACTTATGTGCTGACCTCTGCCTAGATACACGCCAACATCACACAAACCCCATCCCATGCTTTTAACTTTTGGCTCTTTCGGTTATCATTATTTTTTTCTCTTTCGCTTTTTGTGTGTATTGATTCTATCCCTTATTCGTCATTTTTCACAATCAAAAGCATGATTTAGTTGCTGAAAGAGACATGTAAGATTATCTCTCTCCCTGTTATGTTTGACTTTGCTGATTTTTATTTTTTTTAATAAAATGATGGCGTAAAAGTAGTGGCCAATGTAAATCACTTCTAATTCTACCGAAAAAAATAATATTATCCAGTGAAATAAAAAAATTGTAATCCAGTACCTTATTATTATTTTGGGTTAAAGGAAAATAAGTGCAAATGTTCAATGGAAAATTGAACTCGTTTTCCGTTCTGATGAGACAATGCGGCCCTAAAAAGTTTAATTTAAAAAAAATTTGACTCTCATCCTAATCTTGAGTCTTATTAAACTGGACCGAGGCTTCATTTTGGGCCCAACAAGATAGAGGCAATAGCTGGGCCTCATTTTATGCCAATAAACATTAAAGCCTTTACTATTGGGCCATATGATTACTATAAGAAGGACCATGTCTCGGAATCAGAAAAAAGCAAGCATAGACATGGGGCCCGGACTGTGATGGCCTGGTCCACATATAACGCCTGTAGGTTACTTCACATTAAACACACACAAAAAAGACAAACTAATTTCATCCCATGAAAAAAAGAAAAATGTAATTTAATTTTTTCAACGCCCACCAAAAATAATATGCCATCACACCAGAAAAATCCTGAAAGTTTTTTCATGAATATATAATATTCTGTAATCTAATTCTGAAGATCAATGAATTAATAAATTGGTCATTTCCATAAAATGTTGAAGACAGATTAAAAAATAAATAAATTAAGTACTCATTTGGTAGCTTTTTTAGCTTTTCTTTTTCTTAAAAGGAGAAGTTTAACGAAATATATTTTTATAAAAGTTATTATAATATTTTTTTTATAATAAATAGAAAAAGATAAAAATTTTGAGGGAAAACTTTTTTTAAGTTATACGATAGCTTTTTAGGAGTTTTTATATTCACTTTTCAGTTATATCCTTATTCTAAATTTGTATAATCTTAATATCTCCCCTAAACACAAATTATTTGATCTCCTTATCCCCTCGAAATGTAAGAATGTCACCAGGAGAGTATTCCTCGGGGAGATTTTGCATGCTAGGTTGTCATTGGTTTGTCTCTTTTTTTGGAAATACAATGAAAACTAAAGCAACATCAAAAAAAGTCTATACTGGGCACAATCTTGGAAGACTAACTTCCCTCAAGTCATTACGAAACAATTCCAAACAAGCCGTTGGAGGGACATCCAGCACAATCAGTTGTCCATCCTGATGAGGTGCATAAGTAGCAAGCCAATCAGCAACAAAATTGTCTTCTCTATAAGTATGATTAAGTTGAATAATCTAGTCTCTTTGAAGCATGCTACGAGCTCGGATGATTAAAGCAGAAAGAGGATGACTTACGTCACACCCTTTTTTTATAAATCCCAAAGCCACCTTGGAGTCACCCTCCACAAAGACTCTCCTAAATTTCTTATGCCAAGCCAGACCCATACCTGTCAAGAACCCCCAAATTTCCGCTGAAGTAGAAGTACTACTCCCAAGGAATTTTGTAAAACCAGTTAACCAGTTCCTAGCAGCATCCCTTATGACTCCACCACATTCAGTCCTTTGCCCATTGTCTATGCTGGAACCATCCACATTAAGTTTAACATAACCCTCAGAGGAAAAATTCCAGTGAATAAGACGTTCCTCTCTTCTAAGCTCCTGATGACCAATCTTAATAAGGGTTTCATTAGCCAATTGAATATTACCACAAGTGTAGGTAATGCGCCTAATGAGACCATACTTCGAGGTGCTAGTTTGATCAAAGATCGCCTTATTTCTTTCCCCCCACAAACACCAAGCTATCACCCCAAAATACAAAGGCCAAGTTCGATCAGTTTGAAACGGACCTTTTAATCCTAGATTTGTCTGAATCCATAGGTGAAGATCCATGGAGAAAAAGTCACTACGGTTATCAGAAGGAACCCAATGCTCCCATAATTCCTTGGCACCAAGACAATCTCTAATGGCATGTAAACTATCCTCAAGATTATAATGACATCTCAGACACGCTGCATCTGTAGCCATGTGACGATGCACTCTACGAACATTAGTTAAAAGAGAACCTCCGTAGAGAAGCCATAAGAATTGTCTAATACGTTTAGGACCAAGCCAAGCCCAAATTACCTTCCAAATCCTATCTTGATGACAATGCGAGGTACCCATGAGATAGTTATAAGCTGATTTCACTGAAAAACCCCATCTTGGCTACCTGCCCAAATAACACGGTCCGGAGAAGGATCCATTGTAGGAGGGAGCACACTACGAATCTTGTCTAATACTGAAGTAGGAAGAAGGTGCTGAAATAAAGACCAGTACCAATTACCATAACAGGTTACAAATTGAGACGTAGACCAATGAGTCATAATAGGAGGAATAAGTTGAACGGCCAGAGAAACAAGTTGGTTATTGGTTTGTCTCTTATCTATATTTTAGGTTATAATTTGCAATAAAAAAACTATAAATGTAAGGTTCAAAAATTCATATACTCCAAAGAATAAGGGTTTTCCCTTCTTACAATAACTAGCTAGCATTAAATTCTAACTAGATATTATAATTGATATTGTTATCTCTTGTCATTTACTAGTTCATGTATGTATTTTTTTTCAAGTACTATTATGCTTATTGATAATAAGTTTTCATGTTTTTTGAATATAAAACTTTTTGGATGAAGCTCTCTTCTAATAAGAAAGTTTTATTTTGGATCTATTTTTTTCTTTAAAATCTCAACCTTTGTCTTTTATTTCTTATTATATTTGTGCTTATCTAAGGGCATAGTGACTCTGGTGGTGTTTCTATAGAGTAACAACTCACTTAATAATGTATAGAAGATGTATCTTTAATAATTGAAGAAGGGTATTTGTAGGTGGGAAAGATTCCTCATTATGTGTGAGGCAAACATTATACATAATAGCTAATAGGTAAGCTGTGTTGATGCAGGGAAGTGAAATCCTTCACAATAATAATCTAAAAGTCTTTTATTAAAAATGTAGGATAGTGATTTCTTATACAAAACAACTAGCAAGCACCAAATTATTATCCACTAAAGCTCTCTCAAATATAAATGCTTTGCTTACATGGAACTGATCGCTAATATCAATTTTATTTTGGGAATGATACTAAACTATCCGGAAAAAAGGAACTAAAACGAATGTCCTAAAATAAGCAGCAGGACACAAAAAGTTAACGTACGTTTCCCTTTGGTGCTAGAGGGACATAGAAGACTGTTGATTCATGACATGATTAGCTGAAATGTGAATAAAAGAGACATGTAAGAGAATAATTTATCAAATTTCCTGACAATACGTTAAGCGTTTGTAATGGTCAATTTTTATCTTTGAAATTACATACCACAGATAAACGTTTTATAATGTAATTTTCTAATGAGTGAAATATTAACAAAGTGCATGTACAAATACCATCCAATTATGTATATATCATAACCAATATTTTATAGTAGCAAATTGTGACCGTCCTCTGATAGCACATCATAACAGATATCTTCTGATAAAAATATTAAATAATATCCTGGCAGATTGTAATTGATATCTTTCCTCCAATATACTCATTCATATTTATTTATTTATCCCATTGTCTTTGTTTGACAGAAAAACAAGTCTGTCCTGTCTCTTCCTCTTCAGGCCAAATCAAATGATTTATTGCATAATTTAAAATAAAAGTAAAGTACAAAATTCTCCCCTCCTCCTATATTTATATGCTTTATTGAATCACCGTATCAAAACTTAAATAAAGTAAGTTTCCAGCTTACCAAAAAAATAAAATAAAGTAAGTTTGTTAAAGTTTTGTGGTGATACACACTAATTATGATGCGATGATATATATAATAATAATAAACGGAAGTTGATGATTGCATTATCTGATTGATTATCTGATTGATTATCTTGAAATTTTTATACATTTGATTAAAGATTAATAAAAGGGGTAAAGAAATAATAAATAAAACATAACAGCATTGAGTGGAATAAAAAATGAAAAATATTACTCTCCTCTTACATAAGATAATTTCTCTCATACTCTTTCATTTCGATTTTCGCACCTCACCTCACCTCACAATTTTTTTTTCTTATAACGATGGGATCCACCCGTTTTCTATCTCAACATAAGATAACTATGTAAAAAGAGAATAATAAAACCCATGAAAAATCCAGTTATGGATTTGGATATTTTACGTGAAAAAATAATCACATAATCATGTTATTTGATTAGAATTACTTATTAACTAGTAGTTGTGATCAAATAACATCGTACAAAATCCAAAAGTTATAGAGAATTAGAGGGGACAATAATGGACTAATTTTTTTTTTTATTGTTTAAAGAGAATGGCGAATGGACTGTTACGTTGATGACATAGAAATAACAGCATCCAATCCAATCCAATCCAACCCATATTTAAAGGGAAGAGAAAGGAAAAGGTGAGTTTTTTATGTTCTCCCTTTGATGCTGTTGGGTGGGGCAAGGGACGGAGAAGGGTAAAGTAGAAGAAGTGTCATTCCTTTTTCTCCTTTTTGTTATTTTCTATATCATCATTTCATTTCATTTCTCTCACTGAATTCTTGGGTTTCTGTTTGTTTCTCTGTGATGGATCTCTAGCATTCAAGGCTCGATCTCTACTTGATGACTATGCCCTCTGTTTCTTGACCCTTTATTTTTCTTCTCAATGGAGGTATCAATTATTATTGTATCTCGTTCTCTCTCAAAATTCCTTATTGCAATTTCTATCACAAACATTTAATTTTTTTTTTTTTGAAGTATTTTATCTGGGGTTGGTTTTTATTGGGTCCTGACATGATCCTCTTGCTTTGAAATGTTACAATTTTCTTAATTTTTGTTGTTGTTGTCTGTGATGAATATAGAATGAATGATGATGTTCCTCTTGATGGGTTTTCTGCCACCAAGGATATTCCGTCTAATATTTTCTGGGTCTTTTTGTTAACGAATGTTCAAATGTTTGAGGCAAACTCCCGAAATGAGAATTTATTTTTTGTTAAAAAAAATTATTAAATAAATATCAGACAGTAAGATAAAAGATCACTGTTTTGAAGTTATTTTCTCAATCTGAGGAAGCCTGACATGAAGAATTCACGACGCTTATCAGGGTTTATATTGCTGGTAGAAACTGCTCTATTCTTATTGTATATTTATTTATTTTTTGGGTTGATTATGTTTTTGTTTGTTTTTATTTAATTTTTAACATCAGTTGCTCATAATTCTTTGGCGAACTTTTTGTTTTTTTAAATAATTTTATCATTTATGTTGAGCATTGTGGTTGGAATAATTGAGAGGGAGAGATTATGCACTGCTGTAGTGTACTCAGCTCAAACTAGTTGGGAGTTTGGTGAAGTAGAATTTAGCTAGTAGTGCCATGCATTATTTCCTTGTTTGCTCCCAGACCTAGTTCTCTAGATGATTCCAGGTCGAATCTGGATTTTAATTTCGCTTCTTGAAATGAATTTTGGATAATGACTCTGAATGAATTTCCTTTTGTGTTTGTTCAAAATATTGTGCATTCAAGAGCACCACTTGCACAAGCAAAATATTTCATCTGACTCTGAGATTGTGGGCTGATATGTGAAAGGTTCAAGAGATGGAAGGCGAGAGTGAAAGTCATATGACATCAGCTGCAGCCTTTGTTGAAGGGGGGATTCAAGAATCCTGTGATGATGCTTGCAGCATATGCCTTGAGGAGTTTTGTGAAAGTGATCCTTCAACGGTAATATTCACTTTTGTGTCACAATTATTGTTTCACATTGTACGATTCATTTGAAGAAACTTGCTTACTTTTGCTTTTCAGGTCACTACTTGCAAGCACGAGTTTCACCTGCAGTGCATTCTTGAATGGTACATCTTAATATCCATTAGTTTTTCATGAGCGTCTCTCTAAAAATTGAGATTTTTAGTTGTGTATTTTTTTTTTCCGTTAAATTCTTGTAGGGTCATGCCTTTGACATTTGCTATGTTGGTTGACTTGGTTACTTTAAATTTTTTTTGCTCAGTATCAATTTAGTCTGTGCCAATAAAAACAAATAATTAAAATGGTTTCAGGCTTTCAGCATTGTCAAATACCTACCAGTCCCACCATCCATAGAATCAGAAGGTTGAATACTTTGGTTTAGTTGTATGATATTTCTTTCTTTCTTGTTTCACTTTTTTATAGTGGCAATTGAGGGTGGGGAATTGCAAAAATTGGGCAGGGTAAGGGGTAGATAGCCCAACCAGTGTTGAGTGGCCAGGTCTCATTGTCATTTTGCTTTTCTGGTTCCTGGGTTTGTTAGTCTTCTTTCACAAGCTTCCATAGCTCGAGTGTTGAGTCTTTAATTTCTGGTTTTGCTGTATTTGTGTTGCTGTAAGGAGCTCAGCCTCCAGAACCTTCAATTTAATATTACAAGTCTTGTTTTGAAGTCCATCACTATGTTTTCTCATTTCTGGTTTTGCTGTATTTGTGTTGCTGTAAGGAGCTCAGCCTCCAGAACCTTCAATTTAATATTACAAGTCTTGTTTTGAAGTCCATCACTATGTTTTCTCATTTCTCTCCCTCTCTCTGAAAACTCAGAACCCATTTATGGGTTCCTAATAGACTCTTGCTTTTTGGTTTCACTTCTTGATGATGTAACGTGCTGTTAGAAGCTTTTTTATAGAGAGCACTAAATCATATCTAAGCTAAGCCAGGTTTGACTCACATTAATGGCCCATGTAATAATTTCCTTCAATTTTGATTTCCAATTCAATTTTCTCTTATGCTTACCATCCATTTTTTCTATCATATTCATACCAAGCTTAGTGATTCACATATCCTAGAACCTTCAAATTTACTTTTGCCAAAAGATCTGGGTCTCGGTCCCCCATAACAAATAAAAGAATTTGGATGCAAAATCCTATCAGTATGATGCAAGATACATATCAATGCATAAAACAGCATCTCTGTTGCCTTATAATGATGGATGTCTTGATTGAATATTCATGGAAATTATAATTTCATCGACTTCTTCAGTAGTATAGATTGGAATGTTGTCCTATGCTTTTTGGTTCTTCCTGACTTTTGTCAATGTTAAGGTCATTAACGCTGGTCATGTTTTGTGATCTGAGAACTGGACTTAACTGACTGTTTTGGCTGGAAAATCAGTGAACTGTCCTCTGTGTGTGTAGTCTGGACTTGTGTGTGGGAGGAGGCTCTAGTCACTGTTAAATATATTCTTGATATTTCTATATGTCTCAATACATTAAAAGTTTCTGTTCTCATAAACATAACTTGTATGATTGAAAATGAAATAATATACTTTAGCAATTGTTACTGGCTTTTGTTTGTAGGTGTCAGAGAAGCTCCCAGTGTCCTATGTGTTGGCAACCTATAAGCTTGAAGGATCCTACCAGGTAGGTTATGATTTTGCTTTTTGGGATCTACATTATCATTCTTTCATTGATTATGTTACCAAACTTTTACGCATTTTATTGCAGTCAGGAATTGTTTGAGGCAGTAGAACAGGAGAGGAAATTGAGGGTTACCCCATCAAGAAATGCTGCTATTTTTCGTCACCCTGCCCTCGGTGATTTTGAATTGCAGCACGTCAGTAATCAGTCTGAGTTTTGGTTTGATTATTGTATATTTGAAGCACATCATAATTCTGCTATTTGTTTATGGTACTTTTTTCTCATTCTGCAGTTACGCATGGGTGTAAATGATGCTGATTTTGAAGAGAGAATAATTCAACATTTAGCTGCTGCTGCTGCAATGGGGAGAACACACCACCTTGGTCGGAGGGAAGGGCATCGAACTCGGTCATCTGGTCATGGCCATCCACACTTCTTAGTATTCTCAACTCAGCCTATTGCACCTTCATCAGGTCCTGATTCAGCTGCTGGACGGGGAAATGAACCAGCTGCAATTCCTACGGGAAGTCCATCTACCCCAATAACATCTGATGGAGATGAACCATCACAGCAGATCCCTCATCTTCAGCCTCTAAGTTCTTCTTCATCTTCTGGATCTACTTTCATGGCAACAAATCACCTAGGAATCAACTCTAAGGATAGGTAGTTATGACCTTATTATTTATTTGCAAAAATTATTCTCCTCTACTCTTTATTATGTGCTTACTGCAAACACCTCCTCTGTATTATGAACACCTACTAAAAAATTCGTTGTATTTATGTAAAATGCTAGTCGGGATTCGAATCCGCAAATATGTAAGGGTAAGACTATGTACAAAAATTACCCTCACCCCACCTTTGCTAGTTAGGGTTTAATGGGGAGTGATTTTTATTTATGTAAAATGCTACAACTAAATCCAAAATGCTGTAATGGATTCATTATCTGAATTCTAAACTGTTAATTCATGAACTCAGTTAACGAATTTGTTAGCTCTAACAGCATTTTGGAGTTAATTGTAAAGCTTGTCTGTAAATATAAGAGTTTTATGTAGGTCTTCATAATAGAGGGGAGGTATGCACAGAAAACAAAAAACACAAGGAGGGTAGAGTGATTCACTCTATTCTTTTTTTCCTTACGGATCCTTATTGTTTGTCTTGTTCAGTGAAATTATATGCTGTGCATTTACTTGCTTGCAGAGGCTCTATTGCTCATTCTTCATCAGCAAACCAAGATAGAGCAGGGCCATCAGAATTACAGTCATTTTCTGATTCTCTGCGGTCAAGACTTAATGCAATGTCCATGAGGTATGATTTTGTAGAAAATAGTGGATGTTCTCAACTTCTCATGAACTCCGTATTTTGTCAAATCAACTTTTCTGATATTAACTTATCTCGTGATGTAAGATACAAAGAGTCAATTTCAAAGGGCGCAAGGGGATGGAAGGAGAGGCTGTTCTCTCGTAGTTCTTCCATGTCAGAACTTGCCCCGGAAGCTAGGGGAGAGGTGAATGCTGGAATTACTAGTGTATCCCGATTGATGGAATCCCTTGAAATTAGAGAAAATAATAGAGCTGTGGATACTTCTTTGTCAAATCATTTGGAGGATTGTAACAATGCAGAGGCGAGCAACCAGAACAATGTTGAAGCTAGTGGAGAAAACTCTTCACGTAATGATAATACTCGAGCTGCTTGTTCTGCTGGCTCACATTCAAATTGAGTTCTGTTTCGTTTCTGTTAATGCATCTTTCCTCAGCATCTCATATTTGAAGGTGAGCTTTGTTCTTTGTCTAGACCTTCAAGGTTCAAACATAATCAACAGAGCTTGCTTTCCATTTATAAACCAAATAGCTGTTTTGGTTCTTATGACAAATGTCACCAATTCAACCCCAAAAGAAAATACTAAATGTCACAAACTACATGTGGATTTATTTTTCTTCTAAATTTTCAGAAGACCAAACAATGAAGCTACTATAAAATTTTGTTATCTTAGTTCATTTGGGGTGATATATGAGTGGTGCATGATTATAACTGCTTAGTCACGCTGTATAAACAAAACAAATCTAGCAGCACAAGTATAAATATTGAGAGTATACTGTATGTGTGAAATGGTTCATTTGACTGTATCCCTTTGGGGTGTATCACATATTTGGTCTCATCCGTGTTTATCTGTTAACAGGCTAAATATTTCTCCAGATATGACATGCTGAGGAGAAGATGCTTTGGAAACAGTCCTGTCAGTTATGTTCTGGTTTGCAATAAAAATCTAGCATCTGAATGTGCTTAAAGCTGAAAATTGTTGTTTTTATGTATATATTATGCCGGGAACAGTGAAGAGTTGTACGTATTTAACGTGTCTGGATCCACAGGTTTTTGAACCGGGACGTACTCTGGACATAAATGTACCCGTGGGAGAAAATGCTTTTGAAATTCAGTGGAACTTATGCCCTTGATTCGTCCTGATAATTTTAATTTTTGGAATAAATAGAAATAGATATAGATGAAGGTGGCAACTACAACTAGAATAGATGCTGTTTCTGCAATATTTTTACTTTGGTTATTCCTGATTGTTGTCCCATGCATGGTTACTTACAACAACTCAAGGTCTCCTAAACCTAAACAAATAATAGGCTGTCACTGTTTCAAATTAGGGGTAGTTATTCAATCTATATTTTTTTATGCCTATTTTGCCTATCAATTTTTAATATTGTTAGATTAGAATTTTAAGAGAAGAGAGAAATAATAAATGTTAGTTGGGATTTTAATATAATAATAATAGAAATTGACAGGTATAAAAAAAGAATTAAGGAGAATAATATATCTCTTAAAATTATTAGGTAAAGGAAATACCAATGTGAAGATTATCTTATTAGCAGGATAAGAGGAAGATCTAGTTGTCATAATGACCTTTTAAGAAATGCTTTACACGCCGGTGGTTCTTGTGTTGTGACAAGAAATTCTGGCAGGTATAACCGTGTAACATGCACAAAGGCCGTAATAAATAATAATGTTAAATTATCATAATGATTACCTACATAAAAAAGTTTATCATGAAATTACATTTGAGGGTACGTATAAAAGGTATTTATTATTGTACAAAATGAGGTATAATAAAATGAATCACATGACGGGAGGTAGGATAATAGTAATATTATAATGTGATATTTTTTAAAGAAAGAAAGTTTTTAAGATGAGGGACGGTTATCATCATTTTAAGACGAGGCAAATCAAGAAGTGAAAGCTAAAAAATAGGGCCTTATGATCCTTCCGGTGAAAATTTAACATTTTTTTTTTGGTGAACATTTTTTATTATATTGGGTAAAGGTACATGAATAAGTATATTATGTTTTTTGATAATTTTTTTCATGTGAGAATACTTTGGGCAATAACTATATTATGTTTCTTGACATTTTTTTTTATGTTAGAATACTTTGGGCTTTGAATGGTGAATAGTACACAAATTTTTTTTTATCTTGTGTTTAAATTCAATTTTTTATTATTAAAAGAATGAGGGGGCAAAAATCCAATTCTAAACTACCTGATGGTATGTTTTAATCCCATATTACAAATAGAAATAAGGAAATGGTAAAGTTGCTTTAAATACAAGAAAGTAGAAATGCGGAAATGGCAAAGTCACTTTCAAAATACTTAAGAAACTACATAGAGTGTTTGATAGATAGACAAAAGTTACAAGCTAACTGAGTTAGCAAAACATAAAAGTTGACTAGGGAGCTCAACGTGGGTGGACTGTCAAGTGACGTGTAAAATAATGCAAATATTATTCTATATTAAATTTATTGAGTTAAATAATAATTAATGTCATAAATTATTTTCATTTATCTGTTGCAATTTTTCAAAATCTAAATAAATGTAAAAATATCAATTTATTGTTAATAATAATAATAATAATTTAATGTTTGATTTTTTTTTTCACTTAAAATCTTTTAACTTAATAAAATAGGAGAAAGGAAAAAAAAAATGATATCAAATTATTTATGATTCTAATTGTTAAATATTAATTTATTATTATTTATATGAGAGAGGTTAAACTTACAACTTATTTTTCTTTACAATCTCTTACAACTAATATATTAATCGTTGATTTCCGTTAATCAACGGTTAAGATTTTCGCAAATAAAATTTATTAATTAATTATTAATTCACAATAAATAATAACCGTTGATTGACGGAAATCAACTGTTAAAATATTAATTGTAAGAGGTTATAAAAAAAAAAAATTGTAAGTATAATCTTCCCTTATTTATATAGGATGAAAAAACAAAAGAAGAAAATAAAATGGAATATAAGAGGAAAAATCACGACAGTGCAGCATCCAACATCCTGTAAATACATTCGGATCTAATGTATTTGAGTCGCGCCTGACCCTGATGTGTTTATCAGACACTATGAGGTGCTAGTTCATATGGGGTTTCGGATTCATTAGATTGATAAAGGCTTTTATTAATCTAATTCCACTTAAGATAGTTATCTTATGTGGTAGAGAGAAAATGGGTGGGTCCCACTATTACAAGAAAAAAAAGAAGAAGAAAAAAGTGAAGTGCGAAAATCGAAGTGAGAGAAAATGAGATAAGTTATCTCATGTAAAAGGAGAGTAATATTTTCCATTGATAAATATATTGTTGAGGTTTTTTGTTTTTTTCTTTTTTTAATTTTAACGAGAAAGGTGAAAAAGCCCAAAATTGGTAATTGAATTGAATTGTGGATGCTCGATGCATGCTTAAATGTGACTGCGAAGTGAATATAACAATTGACAAAGGAACCACCGCAGGAGGGGAAGTCGCCCTCTCATAGTTAATAGGTTAAAACGCAAACCCTTGTGTGAGAATCACGGGTCACTCCTGAAACTGAAAGAAAAAATGAGCGTACAAAATAAACCACCTCATTCGTATATCTTCCATTCATTGTCTCCGACACCGACAATCTGCCAGACTGCCTCATTTATCAAACCTTTTTAACACGCACTACACAACACGCACACCTTTCGGCTCGGCTCCTCCAATATTAGTCTCAGCTCGCCTAACATAAACATGGTCTAACGTGCCATCTTCATTAATTTAGGATGTTGAATTAATAATAATACTTAAACTAATGTTACAGTTTACCACAAATTGTTGATTTGCACATGTTGTTACGCAAATGAAAATACTAAAATGGTGGAGTGGCGTGGCGTGGCTTGTGAGGGGAGAGGGGGCTTGAAAACAAACACATGGAGGTGTGAGAGAGTATAGTAACAGTAACAGCACATCATCAGTTCCCGCGTGGTCCCATCAATACAGCCTGTCATAGAGAATAGTATGCTTACTCTAAAATCTAAATGCTATTCCTATTTCACATCACATCCTCAAAACTCAACCATTAAGCAAAGCAAAAGAAAAAAGCAAAACCCCATTGAAACTTGAGACTCTAAGACACAGACTCACCAACCATACCCCACAAACAACATCACCCACTTTACCTCTCTCCTTCAGAGTATCATTTCCCCACACACACACACACACACACACAGACACACACAAACACAACAAAAACAAAAGCCTCTTTCTCTTCACGAGAGATTGAGCACCATGGATTCTTCTCCTTCCATCTATGGTGTCTCCAAATTGTTCTTGGTTACCCTTTTCACTCTTTCTCTTGTTCTTCATTCCCATTCTGCATTTCCTCACAATTCATCTTCGACCTCAGGTCAGATTAATTCCAATTCAATCCTCGTTGCTCTTCTGGATTCTCATTATACTGAACTCGCTGAACTCGTCGAGAAAGCCCTTCTTCTACAGAAACTCGAAGAAGCCGTTGGTAAACACAACATCACCATCTTCGCCCCAAGAAACCAAGCATTGGAGCGTGACCTTGATCCTGAGTTCAAGCGCTTCTTGCTCGAACCACGTAATCTCAGGTCACTCCAAACTCTTTTGATGTCCCACATTATCCCCAACCGAATCGCCACCCACCACTGGCCCTCCTCCGACCTCCGCCACTTCACCCTCTCCGACCGCCACCACCTCCAATTAACCACCAACCCCTCCGGCAAGAAAATCGTCGACTCCGCCGAGATCCTCCGCCCCGACGACGTCTTACGCCCCGACGGCGTCATCCACGGCATCGAACACCTCCTTATCCCGCGATCCGTGCAGGAGGATTTCAACCGGAGAAGAAACCTCCGCGATATCTCGGCGGTGTTACCGGAGGGAGCGCCGGAGGTGGATCCCCGAACCCACCGCCTGAAGAAACCAGCACCGGTCCCTGCCGGAGCTCCGCCGGTGCTCCCAATCTACGACGCCATGGCTCCGGGACCTTCCCTAGCTCCGGCGCCGGCACCGGGACCTGGAGGACCCCGGCACCACTTCAACGGCGAGCGACAAGTGAAGGACTTCATACACACGCTGTTGCATTACGGCGGTTACAACGAAATGGCGGATATTCTGGTCAACCTGACATCACTGGCCACCGAAATGGGAAGGTTGGTGTCGGAGGGTTACGTTCTGACCGTTCTTGCTCCGAACGACGAAGCCATGGCGAAGCTAACGACGGATCAATTGAGCGAACCAGGAGCGCCGGAGCAGATAATGTATTACCATATCATACCGGAGTATCAGACGGAGGAGAGTATGTACAATGCGGTCAGGAGGTTCGGTAAGGTCCGGTACGATACCCTGCGGTTACCACATAAGGTGATGGCTCAAGAGTCTGATGGGTCTGTTAAATTCGGTGACGGTGATGCCTCTGCGTATCTGTTCGACCCTGATATTTACACCGATGGAAGGATCTCTGTTCAGGGGATTGATGGTGTTCTTTTCCCTCCTGAGGAGAAGAACGATGATGACTCCAACACTCAACGCTCTAGGACAACTCCACTTGTTAAAGTTGCTGCTAAACCAAGGAGAGGTATTGTTAATAATTGTTTCTGTTTTAATTGCTTTAGTTTTGATTAAGGTTATTTTGTTTTAGTATGGATTGAGGTTTGAGGTTCAGGATTATGATTAATTGATGTTTTTTAATGAAGTTTATAGGGATATAGATTTGAGGTAGTGAGTTTTAGCTTCATTTTCACCTTTTAGGTAGGGAGTATTTTGTGATTCGTATGAGTGGTTATCTCTTTTCTTGCTATTTTTGTTGCATCTCTATTGGATTTCATTTTTGTACCTAGTTTTGAGTTCAAAGCACTTGGTTTTCCCATTGCAGTAGTATTCTGCAAACTTAAAAGAACTATGTATATGTGTATGTGCTTTATGATGATTGAGAATAATAGTCTTAATGGGGAAGCAGCTAGGAACTTGCCAAATATTAGAGATGCAGAGAAAAGGGTGTTCTCTAATGAGTTTCTTTTTTGTTTGTTTGATTAGTCTGTTCCTTTCGCTCGAGTCTCAACTTGTCCATGTGATTATTTTAACTGATATTAAAAGAAATTTAGTATGCCAAGCTGTAAGCCACATTCTACTTTCCCACCCCAGCCGAACCCAGTTGCTGAAACAGTCTGTCTGACTATTATATACACCTACACCCTTTATTTTATTGTTTCATGTCGCTTGCTTACACTATATTGTGTTTATAGTCAACTTGCATATTGTTTTGATTACCTTTTAGTTATTTATTTTATTTTATAATTTATATAATTTGGCTATTGGTACTTCATTGGCATCAATCATCCTCTGAATATTTAACTTGTTTCTCTTGTATATATGTGAAATTGTAAGAGAGTTGTCCGGGTCCTGGTATTAGTTGACTTAACACTTCATTTTACCTAAATGCATGTGCAGGAAAGTTGCTGGAAGTCGCCTGTAGCATGCTTGGAGCTTTTGGACAAGTCTGCCAATGAAATCGCTTTCTCAATTAATCGCTAAAAAAAGAATAAAGGGTGAATTTATGTAAACTTGATGAATGGTAAGCTTACCCACCATTTATTGCTTGGTTTATTTCATTTCTTTGGATGAGAGTCTAATCTGATCTATACATTTTTCACATGCATTATGCAGCTGTAGAGTAATCATTTCAATACAAAGGATGCATTGTGAATCTATAATTAGAGAGCGATTAAGTTGCCGGATTTCCATGGAAACTCAACAGGAGATAACAAATTTTCTCTCATTTTGTTTCATACTGTAATTACATATCATTTTTTTATTAAATTTTTATTTTATGTTGATTTACTGTCTCTGTATGCATAAATAACCTTGGAATACGACACCCCTTCTTGGTTGCATTATTTTGTTTCTGTTTGTACGTGAATCAAAGTCATACATAATCTACTTTATTATTATTATTATTATGCCTTCCAAGTTCCTACCCTCTTTCTTTTAACACATATTTTTAGTTTTTAACTAACCATGAAATGGACCTCCCAGCGGACGAATTAACAAAAAATAGAAAAAGCTAACGAAATGGACCTCTCAGCTGAAGGTTTTTATTTTATATCCTTTTAAAAAAGAGAGAGAAATGGACCTTTTCTTGGTTTTGGCTCAGGCGTATGCTTCACTTCCTTTTCATTCCAAGTGAAGCTGTTGTCAAGGGGTTATTTCATGGACATCTAAATTAATAGTGGCAATGTTACTGTGACAAGGAGTAAAGGAAGTAGTTGTAAGTTGTGGGATTTAAATATTTGCCCAAGAAGACATAATATGATAATAAATAATGGTCTTGCTTTGCTGGCCCTCCATAGGTGTCGGTCATTATATTATATTCATGTCACGTTTGTGCTTTTGTAGGAAATATATTGCCATTAAAGCTGGCCCCAATTGTTGGATTATTCCTTGATTACCCAACAAATCATTCCCCCTCTTCCCTACATTCTTTTCTTTACATATTTTTATTGAGGGAAGGAAAATTCGTTGAACTTGACATCAAGGGCAATTGCAAACCTACATCATAATAGAGAGAATAACGATAACAACGATGAAACTAAAGAAAGCAGGAATGATCTACTCAAGCTATAGGGATATTTTCTGCTGCTTGACCAAATAAAAGGGCTGTGCTTATTAACATGATCGATGCCAAATGTGAAATTAGAAGTAGTGAAAATCAACAATAAGGAACACGGTTTGATGAATGTTATAAAAATAAATACCCATGGATGGACCTTGGTTGAGGTTGTCTGAGACCATGCCAGTTTGAGAAGGTAAAAATTAAGATAAAAGTTATTTTACACTCATTCCTTAAAGTTGAGTATATGAATTTTTTTACTATACACATTGTGATTGTTCGTAGTTCCTATAGGTAAAAAGGGCTTTAATTTTCAGCCGCCGAAAAAAATGGGATTTAGTATTTATTTTTTTAAAACTAATTATGCGGCAGAAAACTATTTCTGCATAAAAGCAGAAATATTTTTCTGAAAAATTAATTGAAAGTACTTAAAAGTAGTTTGTCATCATTTATAAGATTTGTTTTGACTGTGATGGTCATGCTAGCCCACTAGTGTGTTCTAGCTTAATTAAAATGGTAGTTAAGTTAAAATCCCTGTTGTTATTTTTTTTTTTAATATTATTCATCTGTCTATGGATTAGTCCCTATTAAGCTTTAACACAATTATATTCTTATAAATTTGAACTCGAGCCCACTAAAATAACCCATTGTCAACATATCAAATCGTAAGATTTAGAGCCCATTTGTATTCACTTATCAAAAAAGTTTTTTTATGACTTCTTTATTTTAAAAGTATTTTTTACAAGAGCTACAGCTATTTAAATTTTTAAAAAATTATTTGATTTTGAAAAAAAATATTTCACTTTTGACTTTTATTTTTTTAGAAACTAAAATTTTAACTTTCGAAAAAAAGGAATTTTTTAATTTTTTTTATGACTTCTGCTTTTTTTAAAACTAGGTATCGAAACAGACTTTTTTTGAGAAGTGCTTTTTTTCTTCTTAAAACAAAAATAGCTTTTGAAAAAAGAAAAGTCCATCCAAACAGGCTCTTAGTTGGGTCGCTAGTAAACTAACAATTCTTGGGTTTACTATTTCCCAATCTCAAGTCAGTATTAATTAGTATCATTAATAATAATTAGGATAGAAAATAACATAATTATTATTGTTTTATAAATTAATATTAAATTAATTGAGTCAGATAATAATTAATTATTATTTTTTGAATATTTATCAAAAATCTTACAAAATCAAAAAAGGGAAAATTTATTTTAATAATAATAAGTTGGATTGATTTTTCCTATTGGTAAAAAAAAAATCAAATAACCCCCAAGGGTAGCTCAGTTGGCAGCTGAGCTCCCAAAGGATTGCTTGGCAGCTTAGTGTCCGGAGAAGGTTGAATGGGGATACCTCTTGGCAATGTACCAAAAAAAAAAAAAAAATCAAATAGTTTATAAAGTCCAAAGTGACTAATTTTTATTTTTTTTGTAATAAAGTGACGAAAACTTTGTCTGTGGGAAGATTAACTTCTCTTGATTTCTTGCATTCATCCAACTTAAATGGATTTAAATATACTTTTTTCAGCGAATAAGAAAAAAAATTAATTATTAAATTGTTATTATTAACAATAAATCTAATATTTTTAAATTTAGAGGGATTTAAAAAGATCGCATCAAGACAAATAAAAAATATTTAACAATAATTATTATTTAAATCAATAAATTTAATGAATTTTTTAAAATAACAATAATGTGTTATTTATAATGTAATTATTAAATATTAATTAATATATATAATATTAATTAATATTCATAGAATCTAATATTTTTAAATTTAGAGGGATTTAAAAAGATCGCATCAAGACAAATAAAAAATATTTACAATAATTATTATTTAAATCAATAAATTTAATGAATTTTTTAAAACAACAATAATGTGTTATTTATAATGTAATTATTAAATATTAATTAATATATATAATATTAATTAATATTCATAGAGATGAGAGAGGAAATCAATGCTTTCAAGGAGCCCATTTGTCATGCAACAATGAGTAAAAATAAAAATATTTTTGGAAGAGATTTAAAGCTTTAATTCTAAATTTGCCTCAAAAAATATACTCCCGTCAAGAATACACGTGATTTATAAAAAATCAAAACATCTTCATAGTCGCTTTCTTGACATCAAATATTTGGCTTGGAATATTCGGTATTCATTTTTTTTTTTGGGTAAGCTATTTGGTATTCATTTTGGATGCCTTCAAGGAGGGACACTTGCAGTTTGAAAATAACATTTTTCATAGAAAATTGGTTGGTCGTTTGGCATTGGACCAAAATTTTAAAAACAGAACAACTCATCATGCACAAAAAGAACACCGTATTAAATTACTTCTCATGCATTCTGACAGAAGTTAAGCTCAAAAGACAAAATTATAAAAATAAAAAAATAAATTTTATGAAAGTGCTCCTCAGTCAATAAATTTCCTCTGTAATTTATAGGATCGTATTTGTAAGCTGTATAGTGTATACTTCTCTCTTATATATCTGTGTCTGGTTTTTATTTTTCATCTTTAAATGTTTTTTTTTCTTCATAAACCACACATATCTTTATGGAAAATAATTTTATTCGAGTCAAGAATATTCACATCATGGTGGGACTAACTCTTCCAAAGAAATTTTTTTATATTCACAAAAATTTAAACCTAATATCTTATTTAAGCGGAATAAAATATATACAACTTGAAACGTGCAGAGTTCACATCATCTTTAAATATTTTTGTTATACCATGAGATGTGAAACAAATCCTGCTCCTAGTCCTAGCATAGTCATGTCTGTTAGCCAAGGGGTGATTCACGTGAGATTTGAATATTTACACCAAATCAATGTTAAGAAATCCGAACCTAACTGCAAACTGGTAAATTAGTCATATAATCGGTTCGGTTGAAGTAACGGATCGGTCATGCAACAGAATCAGTGCGACTCGATCCGACCCAGCCGGTTTTCATGAAAACTGGTGACCCAGCCCGGTCCAAAAAAAAAATCCAATTTTTTAAAAAAAAAAATCATAATAGACATATTTGAATATTTTTTTGCTTATTGACTTACATAAATTATGCATCTACAACACTAATATTATCTTAATTATGCACTATGCAGAAAATTTTGATTTGATTTATAGTTAGAGATGTCATTTTCTGAACCTAAAGCTCTGTATCATGATCATTATATTTTTGTTTTATCTTTTATTGTATAATAATATGTGATTTATTATTTTTTATATTAAAATATTTGAAATTTTTATCATTTTTTTTATATTTGAGTATGTTTATAATTTTTTAATATAAATTATAAAATTGTATATAATTACCGAGTCATGCAGTTGAACCAGTGTCCAGTACTTCAACCGAATCAACCGAGCCGATTTTAATAAGATTGCACCAAATGTTGTCATTTTCTCCCTCTCCAAAATTCTAAGATTCTAAAACTTTTTAGGTTGTATTTGGTAGAGGGAATCTCAAAATTTTGATAGGCATCTCAAAATGGGTAAGTTAGTTGTCAACGTTTGGCAGAGGGAATCCAAAAATTTTCCTATGTAAATGATTTGCATAGCAATTGAGGTTTGCATGTAAAATTGGACCAAAACTACAGCATTGAAATCCTATTTTGACTGTGGTATTCGACGGATAACTAGGGAAATGAAAACCATGGAAATAGCTGCTGCCTAAACTACCCTTTGCTTAACCTACTACCCTTGTTATTTTGTGGAGCCTGATCGCTGGACGAGGGGAACGCCGGAGCGGGATCGACCGAGATTGGTATTGGATCCGCCAAGAGGCGATGGTTCTGTGAATGAAGCTCCTATTATTTAAATATCAGGGTCCTTTTCCTTTAAAACAGCGCTCTATGTTTCTCCTTCTCTTTCTTCACTGGCTACATGAAAATCTTCAGAGCTCTGAAATATCAAATTAGCCAACTCTTCTGTAAATCCTTTAATCTCAGAATCTTCAAAATGATTCCTCTTGGCTTGATCAGCTACAGCTACTGGAACAAGGTGATCATTTTTGTTGTCTTCTACATGAAATATGAAACATCAAATAAAGGAATCATCACTCATTTTCTCTGCATTTACCCAAAAAAAAAAAAACTAAATACCAATAACCCAGATGAGAAAAATCACCAAACCTGAAGATGTATCTGAGCATCAACCACAAGGAGTAAAGCACGTAGTTTGTGAAGAAAACCCGCAGAGAAGCCAAGATCCAAAGCATGTTTTCATAAACAAAATCATTACAGACGCCAAACCTAGGGATATTTTTGTAATTGCTACTTATTTTTCCATCTATATTTTACCTCAAACCAAACATAGACTTTATAAATCTTATCTCATTTGCCCGGTAAATTTTTTTTCAACCAAACAACTTTTTTTACATTTTCCTACCAAACTCACTTCCCAACAATTTCCCTATCAATTACATTTCCCTAGTATTCAAAAAATTTCTCCTCAACCAAACACCCCTAACGATTACAGCCAAATTGGATAACATGTTATTATTTAGTAAGTTGTTTAGTTGGCCATATGGCAGTTTATCAGAATTTCACTTTTTTTCTCTCTCTATCTTCACTTTTGTCTTCTACAAGCACTTTCTGAGTTCTATATCCAATACTCCGCATTCATTTAATACAATTCTTTTCCAATTACCATTTTGAAAAAAAATGCGAGATTTCCCCATATTATTTGAGTATAAAATTGTAACCAAAAAAGAAAAAAAAAAATTACGGATCGTTCAAAATACTGACTATCCCTCTCCATAATTATGTAATTTCCCGCAAAAGATACTTTATCTTTCGCTTCATATTATATTATTAGATTTAAACATCCTACTAAAATAAGTAATTGTTTTAATTTTTGAAATCAAATGTTATAATAAATTTGTAGAAAACTATTGAAAATAGATTTAGTTGGCATAAGCAGTGTTTTATTTGATTTTTTTCTTCTTCAAATTTTAATAAATTTTTTAATCATAATTTTTTTATTTTGAAAAAGATTAAAAAAGTAGGTTTTTTAAATAAATTCTCAAATGCTCAATAATTAATAAAGAGAAGAAAAAGCCTCTGCCAAATTCTATTAATCATAAATTAAATTTCATTCAAACAATAATTTAATAAACACTTACAATTCTAATGAAAGAAAAGAGATATATAGAGAAGAGAATAGATATAAACCTAAATCAAGACTAGCCTATGTAGCTTTGCTCGTGATCAAAGGACTCTTTCACTTTGAAGTCCAACATATAAAATGTTTTTGTATATAGAAGACATCACATATCTTATTTTAGAAGTTCTAAAAGTCTTACTGATGCTTAAAGCTAAAAATATTAGAACGATATAAAAAATAGAAGAAAAGCTAAAAAGTTAAGATCTACCATGTCCCAAGGCACATCTAAATCTAATACATTTAGAGCTAAACTCTTCAAATATATTCAAAATATACCAAATATAAAAGCTCTAAAAACACTAATCAAGAAAGAAATAGACGGGCTTATCAAACCTTCATTATCATTAGGAAAGAGTGAAAAAGAAAATTGACCAAAAACTTTGGTGAGCTCAAGGATTCATGAGGAGTATATGCTTAAACATTTCCTCATTGTGTTCGAGTATGCAGTGCTTAATGAATAGAGCTAGGAAGGGCAATGGTTTTTGTCTTTCTTCAATCAGATGTCAAATACAAGAATGGCTTGCTAAATAATGAATTAATAAGGCATTTTAATATACATCACAGAAGGGTAGCAGTTCAATGTTAAAAAACAACTCTTATTTGCACTACACATTTATGATGAACATTGAACAAGAAGCAACCTCTATATTCACAATAATAATAACATAATGAATAACATAGAGCCCTAAACTTAGATAATTATTAAGTCCGATTATATGAATTTACACTCCAACAGTAACCTCATATGGGACAAGCTCGGGTGTAGTTGAATTTAAGAGCAGTGCACTATTTGGAGGATGATCTATTTCAGCTTGTAGCTCCAAGACAATTTTGCCTTTAGAATTGTTAACATGTGGATATTGGTATTCTTCATTGCTTCCTGTGGTTGCATTTTCCTGAGACTTCAGCTTGGCTTGGGTTTGCTTGATTGGTTTCTTTGAAATCACATCTTTATGACCCTTTACCTTTTCCTTGGTTGAATCATTATGCTGTAGTTTCCCACGTGGACTGGAGCAAGACTTGTCTTCTTCTGAATTGTTGTTCAGAACAAATCCTTTGGTCCTTCCAAGCTTTGGGGATCTTGCGCGGGTTGTTGGTATCTAATTGGTAGATAAAATACATCAGAATATGTAAGTAAGAAAGAATACTAAAAGAGCAAGCCCTATGAAAGTACAGAAGAAGAAAGAGAGCTTAGAAACACTTTAGCATCATGAACCAACTTTTGTATTATTACCATAAAGATGAGCATCTATTACCATAAAAAATTAAAAGGGAAAAAAAAAGATAGATTAGTTACCTTCTTCAGCTCAACTTTTGGAGGTGGTTCCTTGTAGAAACTTGGCATTGGAGTGGCTTTGAATATCATGGTCTTCCTCAATTGCTTGATCTCTGCCTCTTGGTTTTCCTGCCGGAAATCCAAAACAAAAACATGGAGAGAATAAACTAAAAGCATCATATAACTGTTAGTAAAACTCAAATCACAACATGAACAGATATCTATTAAGTTCATTGATAGGGATAGTATACCTTGGATTTCGCTTGTTGGTTAGTGTTTTCTGCTTCCTTGGCTAGAATTTTCTCCTCAAACTTTGAGAAAAACTGAGAAAAAAGGGATAATATAGGATTAGTATCTGGCATTTGCAATAATAACATCAATATGGTGTAAGAAGGTTCCAACAACAACCTCCTTTCGCTTTTCAGCTCTTTCTTCCAATCGGGAGGAAAATCCGGAACCACTGTTTCTCTGACAAGGAGTAGCACTTCTGATAACATACACATAAGAAAGTTTTCATGAACATTTTAACTACAGAAAAAAAAGAAAGGAAGATAATTTATTAAGAAATGTCAATGCCACAGACACTTGAACAGAATTCAAATCATAATAAGAAATAGACGAGCAAGGATGACAAAATGTTCTAAGAGTAATAGGGGTATAAATCATACGAAGTTGTGGAATGAGAATCATCATCCTCTTTATTTGGTTTTGTAATTTTGCCTGGATTTGAAATCTGATCACTGGGTCTGCATTAAAGGTAAAAAACCATAAGGTGATAATCCATGATTCCATTCAGCAGAAAACTGCATAGCTATCTCCTGAATATATGTTTATGAATACAAGCATCGCTGAGAGTTCAGCTTAAACTGAAAATTATTGATAGCTTGCAATATAAACCTTAAGATTGAAACAAACTGTAGAGAAGGATTTGGTAAATCTTGGTAGATTGGGACTTACAGCGATGCCTCAGATGTATGGTTCTTGGTGATTGCAATAACTGGAGTAGATCTTCCAAACTGGTAGAAAGAACTAATGTCATGAACAAGGAAACTTATGATAAGGAGCAATGAAGCTACATAAAAAAAGGCCATGAGTAAAAAATTATCTCTACCACACAACGTTTCAAACCACGCATGGATGTCGAAGAAATTCTCTGGTTAGAAACACCAATGTTCGTTTTTGCCTCCTTTGAGTTCACTTCAGAGTTTGTGGACTTTTTTGAATGACGAATGGAGGTCTCATCTCTAATGCCATTACCTTGAGCATGTTTAACTCTTGTCTTCACAAGATACCCATCAATGCTTTTCTGTATAGCATCTTCACGAGCTGATTTGGCTGGGAAAGAAAGGCTCTGAGAAAGGGTTGGCTTGTGTTTTTGAGATGTTGAAGTTGGGCACTTCAAAAGGGGTTTATCTTTGGGAGATTTGTTGTTCTTGGAAGCAACACTAGCTCTGCCACCGGGTTCCTAACCACGTTAATTTTAATCAGTAAAAGTTCTCTATCTTGGATCATGTGCTGTAACTGTAAATAATCATCACCACAATGGTTTAGTTTAAATTAATATGGGGGTACCTTAGCAAGTTTTGAAATTTCACTTGTGGAAGTTGTAGAGGCTTCAACTGCAACAGCGTCACCAGCAGAAATGGGGACTTCAGCATCCACTATGGGTTTAGATACTTCATTGTTGGTCTGAATTTCTGTACCATTACAATCGTTTTCAACTTCTTTCTTTATATTCTCCTCAATTGTTGCCCCAATAACACGTTTCTCTTCCTCTACAGCAACCCCATTTTCAGATTCCATTGTGCTATTAAGGTTTACACAAAGTAAAGTCGAGTTGAAGGGTGATCAGCTGTAGGAAAAAAAAAATATTTTTCTCAGTTTCTGGTACACATAACTGAATACTATTCTCAGGAATAGAAAATCCAATACAATATGCACGTTTCTTCATAATTTTGGCCAAACCAAAGACTGACTTCAATTTACTGTAAACATGTATGGTTGAACTGCATCCTAGCTTTGTTAAGTCTTTTTGCATCAACTTTACAATTTATTCAAATTTCTTTATTAATGAGAATCAAGGGATAGAACAGGCCATGCCTGAGCATAGTGCATAATGAATAGTGAAATCAAGAAAGCACAGCCAACTCTCACCACTTTTATGGGACATTCTGATGTAATTTCTTGTATATTGATTGTCCAGAGAACGGAGCCAGACTATCCCATTGAAATTCAACAAAGCCTCATAAAAGAGGCTGTGATCAAAATATATTTTACTCAATACTCGAAATCTTCCTAATTATGTGAAAATGGCATAGCTTATTAACATATCGGAGCAGTGTTCTGAATGTAAAACTGATACAAATGGGTAATTAGGATGTTGTTAGATAAGTTATGGAAATTAGGGAGTTTGTTATTTAGTTATTTTGTTGTTTGATTCTAGATCCTCTCTCATCTCATGTACTTAAATAAGCATTTCTTTACTTAATTGATTTTGTTTGCCCATTAAATAGCAAAATGCCTATTTAAGTACATGAGAGAAGATCTAAAATTATCCAAGCAAACAACAAAATATAAAATAACAAAATAACAAACTCTCTAATTTTCATCACTTGTCTAACAACATCCTAATTACCCATTTGTATCATTAACATAAATTTAAGGATAAACGGAAAAGATTAAGATAAACAGTGTCATCTGCACCATAAAAAAGGTGTCCTCTGCACACAAAAAAAAAAAAAGAAAAAAAAGAAAGAAAAACCTAAGGTTGTGAGAACACCACACTTAACATTCAAAATTCAACTACAATATGAATTTCCTAGTAACGGAATTAAGCAAGATTGGAATTGTTGTCAATGTCTGGCACCACTCCCTTGTTTTAGCACTAGAAATGAAAAGATCTATATTATAATATATACACGTATATAGAATAAAGTCCCTTGCCAATACATTGTTAATTTGTTATTCTTTACTTCTTGATTTCAAATCCTCAGATTCCAATGCTACATTTTCTCAGAAACAAAACAAACAACAAAAAATGACAATCAATCATCATCCCCTGCACTTCGCAAGCTTAATACAGACCATGATCAGAATTCTTAGCAACCAGAAACGATATGTAAAATATACAGCATGGGGTTACCTCTAAAAATTGCGTTCTTGAGAACTTGACTTGATTTATTATAACAAGACTCACTTGGGCACACAGTGAAATGGAGATCAGGCCATATCTTAACGAATTCAACGATTGAATTGTACTGAAGATTGGTAGTTTAGAAGACAGAATAGAGTAGAATATGGTGGTTTAGATTAGAAGCACTAGAAAAGCAGGCTTTTAGGTGCTGCTGTGTGATAGTTGAAGTTGAAATGTGTAGTTTGTGACACTCATGTTTTCCTTGGAGATATGAGAGAGAGAGAGAGAGAGAGAGATTTGTGGAAAGAAAGCTGAAGTGGGACGAGCTTTCAATGAAGGGGAATACATGGATTAATAGGAACTGCCACTATGACTTTTCTACCACTCTGTAAACCTGTAACTGTCACTAGAAGCCAATTTTTATTTTTTTGTTTTCTTGTTCAACTGTCACTGCAACCATTTTTTAAGGTAAAATTTCATGGGTGAATCAAATGTATCATGTTTCTTCCTTTTTTAGTATCTGTTGTTTAGATTAATATGTTTGACTGACTATTAAAAGGTTGATTAACAATATCTGTCAGTCTGTATTGTTTATGTAGGTAGAGAAACATATTTGGATGGATTTAGTTAATTTATCAATTAATAACCAAAAAATTAATTAAATCAATAATTTCATTCACATGGGTTTTTCGTGATTATTATTAATTCCTGAAACCAGCTTCTAGAAGAATCTGGCAATCTGCCACTGCCAGCACATTTTTTTATAAAAAATTGAGAGAATAAGAAAATGAGAAAGGGAGATTGCTAAACATACTCTGTTAAAAAGGAGGGTTTCTTTGTTGGAAAAACATTTCAATTCGGTAATTTTGGCATGGACACGAATGATTGTCCCCAAAATGCTGAGTACGGTTCAAACCAAATTGACCTAATTAACGATGAATAAGACAATGCTTGTTTCTTCGGAGTAAAAATAGAACTTTCTAGTCTCATGAATTTTTTAAGTTGAACATGTTGTATCTAATTATAAGATGCGACAAATAACTTTCTTACTAGGAATAAGTTAGACGGTCTATAACCTCGCCTACATTAGGCTTAACCTGGCTTAAGTCTACTTATTTAAGTTAATCATTTTATTTCCTAAAGGTTTTTTTAGTTAAAGAAGAAGAAGCATAAGTTTCAGGTTATTAAAAAAGGTCTTCTAAGCTGAATAATTAAATAAATATAAATAATATAATATTTTAAAATAATATATTTGTTGAATTATATACATATATACATATATACATATATATATATATATATAGGCAAAATGATTTCTGCAGCCGCTGTACCTACAGCAAACAAGGATACACGTCCGAATCCTAGGATACGGCAACGGATCCTGAGTTTTTTTTTTTAAAAAAAAAAAAGCCGTGGGGCCCACTTTTCTGTGTCAGCTGTAGATAACACTATCTGCGGCTGCTGCAGAAATGTTAAGCCCATATATATATATATATGAGTGTATTTTTTTTTTCTCTTTTTGAATTTAGAAGGTATACTCACTGAAACGTCTTCCATTATCTTATTTTTGGTTTAGAGCTAACTTTTCATGAGAGGGTGTATTAAATAATAGGTAAGGTGAGACTAATCCTCCACCAAAACTTAATGTAACGCCTGACAACTTGCAAGAATCAATGACTGTCCCCACACACTAACACGAGACTTTTCAGTGTGCTTTGTCCTCACTCGCACACTTTCCGGGAAAACTTCCCAGAAGGTCACCCATCCCAGAATTGCTCCAAGTCAAGCACGCTTAATTGTGGAGTTCTTCCGATCCGGGCTACCGAAAAGTAGATGCATCTTGTTGGTATAGGTAGTACCAATTAATTCTTATAAGCCATTCCCAACTGTACCGTCCCATACCAGCACAGTCTCTGGAATCCCTCTCTTTCGGGTGTTGATTCGATTCATTCATGTACCCCCGTCCCTAGAAGCCTGCCAGGAGCCACTCCTTGTCGTGCCCTTGCTCACCGGCGATCACTCCCCTCCCTCGTCAGCGCCCGGGATGTTACATGCCTACCAGCTTCCGCCTGGTTCGTCCTCGAACCACACCGTACTGGATGAGAGGCTCTGCTCGCCCTGGACCGGTGTGTACAGCGAGGACGCTGTATTCCCAGTGGGGGAGGATGTAATCCCACATCGGTTGGAGAGGGGAACAAAGCATGCCTTAAATAAGGGTGTTGATACCTTTCCTTGTATGAGGCCTTTTGGGGGTAACCTGAAACGTAAAACCGTGAGCTCGACGGTGCTTGTGCGCGGGGCAAAGCGGACAATATCCTGCTACAGGGTTTGGGGCTGTTACACTTAAAGCGCAAACAATTTGTTTCTCGTCTCAATGAATCTTTTTAGGGTTCATTTTTTTTGCAATTACTGCAGATACATTATCTGCAGTAAGTTCAATACGACGTTGTTTTGGGACGAAAATCATAGTATTTTTGTAATTTTAATTTATTCAGGGTTATTATAGTCTTTATTATTAAAAATTTTTAATTTTTCAATTCCAAAACGACATCGTTCTGGAAATAAATACAAATTATTTATATGCAGTAACTGCAAAAATATTTTTCTTCTCCTTGATCAAATATACGACTCAATCCTTGAGGCATGCATGCTCCATTACTAATATACCACCATTGCGATTTGCCTATTAACAAATTTAAATATAAGCTTGTTGGCCTATTTAAAGATCAGATTAGATGATAAAAATTTTTATAAGCTTTCACGCAAGGTCACATTTAAAAAAAAGGTTAGGTTAAATCTCTTTTTTTTGTTAGGTTAAATCTTTAAAAAAGCCTATATGTGTCAAATAAATAGATTAAACTTGTGTTTTATGTGTTTAAGAAATATGACATTAATTTAAACTCAATTCTATTTATATATTTTAAGTTGGTTCATATGATTATAAATATTATTTAAGGGTTTAATATTTTTGAGGGCTTTGCAACTCTTATGTGACTACAAAATTTGAGAGTTTGCAGCTGACCCAAAAACATGGTGGGTCCCACCATTTGAAAAAAATAAAATAAAGATAAAAATAAAAATAAAGAAAACATGGTGGCAGTAGAAAATCACTTCTGCGTTCACAACATAAGTGATTTCCCCTATTTTTTATGCTCACAAATAGAGTGAGTGTGTCTCACTTTTTTTCATTTTCTTTCATCTTCTCATAAGATTCCACTCACTTTAATATATATATATATATATATATATATATATATATATATATATATATATATATATATATATATATACAGAACATACGGAAAAAATATTAAATACCGTTTACCAAAAAAAGAAAAGAAATATTAATACCATTATTTAAACATATTGCATACCCATTTTCTTTTTAAGTGCATATCCAATGTAGTGATATACCTTTGCTTAAAATTATATACATGCTCATTTAAGTTGGCCATCAGTTACATTTCACCATTATAATATATATTCTATTATGGTATTTTAGTAAAAGAAAAATAAAAAGTGATTGAGGGGTGGGGTTTACACTGAAGCCATGTAGTTGTTAGTAAGTTAGACATCAAAATGAAGTTATATACAGTAGAATGTTGGCAAAACATAAGGGAAGTAAATTGAGCAATGAAGTATTGAATATATGCAAGAGAAGTGGGTAACGACCAAGGGTACTGTTTGAGAACATGGAAATAGTGACGGGACCAGAGATCGGTGTCTGTTTTCGGATGACATGGAAGGAACAAGCAACATGATTGGTGGCCAAGGAGTAAAAACTACATCACCTGTTCTAGAAAAATCTTCCACAATATTACAAATAGTCAATCTTCCATATACCTTTAGAGGCTTACCCTTACACATTATCAATAATGGTGATTTCAAAAAATTTCTGTTTGATACTCAAATTTTTCTTGAGAGGGTTCTCCCAATATTTTTAAGCAGGTATCCCTTCAAAAAGGGTTTTCCATTTCTTCATATAGGAGAGATGAAACCCTTCGTCTCCTTGTAAAATCTTCTGCATATTTATAAGATAGGTACGATTCATTCATGCACCAATAAATATGATACATGTTTAGCCACCAAATATTATTGGAATAACACACCTCAACACACGTCACCTCTCACCAAGGAACAAACTTTCGGTACACCTATTGTATCTACATCTTTACTAAATAAAAAAAAAAAATTGGTAAATTAAAAAAGGAAAATATTTTTCTTATGTTGACGGAAATATATTATCTCAGGTTAGTGACACAAAATTAAAAGAGTGACCTACAAATAATTGGAAAAAAAAAATAGAGATGGAATTCACTTTTATTATGTTTGTTTAAGAATTTGATTTATCTCCTGTTGAATGAGATAAATATAATCCTAAAAAAATATATATTAAAAAAAATTATTCGTTTTAGTAAATAGATGTATCGAGTTCGGTACATCCGTAGCATAAAAAACTATATCTTTATAGTATTGAATATGTTCGAGGATAATCTAGTAAAAAAAATTAAAATTAATAATCTAAATCAATTGAGATTGAAATGTCTGAATTAAACAAAATAATTCAATTACCTAACATAACTCATATTTTAATTAAGTTAATTCGGACTAAGTCAATTCAAATCCATTATTTGTGAGTTGTATGTTGCACCAAGGTGGCTGCTCCCTTTAAGAGTTAGACTTCTATTCTGTCTTCTATCCACAAAAGTAAAAACACCAAAGAAGGACTTGTATTTTGTCTTCAACCTTGCTTGTGCTCCATGACCAAACATGTCATTGTGGTTTGCATGGCTCGATCGACCAGGATAGGTGGACCTCCATTCTTTGAGTCTCTAGGACACACCCACGTGCCCTTGGAGTTGGACACATGCAATGCTACACAAGGGAATGTCACAAGTCACAACTATTTCTACATAAATTGTTTTAACTAATTTTAACTATTTTTCTTATTGAATAAATGCACAGTTTGATCACTCTAGTTTCTGAAGATTCATTATCGACAGTATAATTCTCTAGTTTTTATAAATATTAACAATTTAGTTTTCGCATAAATTAACCTTTAAAAACCTTATCGGAAATATAAACATGAAAATTACGGAAATATAATCTATTCTAGATTGATTTTTTGCTAAGAGTTTATCCCATTCCGTTTTTGTATTTGACAACCAAGAAATCAAATCAAATAATATATAATTAATAAAAATAAAATAAAAATAATATATATCTGATTGTTTAAAATCATCAATCCGAATCTCTTACAAGACCATGGTTGTTACCCATTATTTGTTTTTAATTTTTTTTCTAAT